GTGGCCTCCAGCCGGACAGAGAGCAAACCGCCCCATCGGCACCTATAGCAGGGCGGGGAAGAACTTATTCTCCCCCAGAACCTCCAATTCACAGCGCTCTGGGCTGGGAAAGGCCTCGGGGCTTACGGAGCTAACTTCCTCCTTGAGCATGTGGGGAAACTGAGGCTGTGATACACAAAACCAGGCAGCAGCATGTCAGGTGCTTCAATGGTCACTGTACCCCCACATCCGGCATGGACTCAGGTGCTGCACTCCTGACCTCCCCGGCACCCTTTTAGGGCCCCAGGCTCATCCCCTGGCCGCTGCAGGCTGCAGGCTCCTGAGGACCTTATCCTGGTCCCTATCAGCTCCTGGGGCTGTGTGCGTGCCTGACCTCAGACAGACCTTCTCCTCCCTAGCCAGAGGGCAAGGGCCATCCTGCAGAAAGCATGTCCAGGTGCAGCTCAGGAAGTGGCCTGGGTGAGAGGTGCGGGGCTGGAGAGGGAGCAGGTGTGACAGGGCTGGTCTTGCACACAGCCAGCCTTGGCTCATCCCTGGTACCACATATGCCCCCTCCCCCAACCCCACCAGGAAAGAGCTCTGAGCACAGAGCGAGGAGTAGTCTGAGCACCTCTGGGTGTGACACAGACCCCTCCTCCCTCCAAAGGAGATTCAGACTAAACAAGGCTTAGTTTCAAACTATAAACCCCAAGTTGGAGCTGAGTTTGCGAGAACCCTGAGAGAGACTCGGGGCTCTGAGAATGCGAAGCACAGGCCTGGCTGTCACCCTTTCTTTACGAGGATTAACAAGAAGCAAATAGCAAACATCTCTGTCCTCGAAAATGTAAGTGAAATCTAAATTCTCCCCTCCTATATTTCTCATCATAAAACTGAATTTCTAAATGAATTCATAACACATAAAGTCACTCAACACAAAACCAATGTTCTATAAATAATTACTATTGTTGCTATTCACCAGAAAGGATGTGGGACCCTGCGGTAACATCCCCAGAGGTCAGGGCCTGAGAACGGGCAAAGCAACCCTCACTCCACGCTCTGCTTCCCCCAAAGAAAGCGAAATGAAAGTCTCAAAGAAATCGAAATGATTCCAGAGAATTTCACTGAACGCTCTAATGAAGTGCAGCATTCAAGGAAAGTCACTGAAATCCAGAACAGAAGAGCATGGATACGCCATGCCTAGCTTCCAGTAAGCAGTGACCAGGCAGGCCGAGAAGCCTGGCTCTGAGGGTCCTACCTGGGAGAAAGGCGTCACTAGATGCAGGTCCAGGAAGGCCAGAGAGGATGAACTTAGGTTTCAACAAGTGCCATAAATGTGCTTAGCAATGTGAAAACAAAAGGGGTATGATGAGAAGAAAAAGGGAAACCTAAACAACCAGAGGAGGAAAACACAGGCACAGTAATTCTACAATACACAGGACAAGGGTAACAACAATTCTGGGTCCTTCGATTTTCAATAGGTAAAGGTAAAGGTAAAGGCCCTCCCGTTGATCGTCGATTTGCTCGAGCGGGCCCAGTAACGTCTCCATTGGAGACTTTGTTGTTACTGTGTCTGGCATCGAATACTCTCGGCAGCCTGCCGGGCTCTCCGAGAGGGGCGGAGGAATCGAACTCGGGTCGGCCATGTTGGCCGCTTGTAAGGCGAACGCCCTACCGCTGTGCTATCGCTCCATTTCTTTTTTGCCGCTTGGACCACACCCAGTGGTACTGGGGGCTTACTCTTTGCTCTGCGTTTGGGCATCACTCCTGCGGGGCTCAGGGCCCTGGGGGGTGCTGAGGATGGAACCTTAGCTGCATGCAAGGCAAGTGCCCCACCTCTTTATCCACTTCGGTCCCACAATTTGAATTTTATGTTTTTTTCCCCTTTTTCTTACTTTTCTTTATTTCTCTTTTATTTTGTTTTGTTTTGTTTGTGGGCCACCCACATGCAGCAGTGCTCAGGGTTTGCTCAGGAATCAAACCAGGGTCAGCTGCATGCGAAGGAAGTACCTTAACCTCTGTCCTATCTCCCCAGTCCCTCAATATAAGTTTTAGAATCAGCTTCTCAATATTAAAACAACTGCTGGAATCTTGACTTAGATGATAATAATCCATCCCTACCACCCAAATCAGGAAACTTTAAAACACAGCAATTGAAGCTGTCAGCGTGGAAGCACAGATTCAGAGGGGAGAAAAAAGAACAAAGTCAGTGGCCTGTGAAATAATATCAAACCGCCATTTTCTGCGAAATTTAATTTCCAGGAAGAAAGAAAGAACTAGAAATAATGGCTGGGGCCAGAGCAAGAGTACAGTGGGTAGGGTGTTTGCTTTGCTCTCAGCTGACCCAGATTTGTTCCCCGGATATTCTATATGGTTCCCAGAGCACCACCAGGAGTGATCCCTGAACACAGAGTCAGGAGTAAGCCCCCAGCATCTCTGGGTGTGGCCCTGAACAAAACAGAGATGGTTGAAATTTGTCCATATTTGATTAAATCTTTAAGCCCATATACCCAAGAAATTCAATAAACTCCAAGTTAAAGAAACATAAGAGAACCATTTCTTAGAAATATTTCACAGTTTTCAGTGGCTAGAGCTTGTCTGAATTTCCCTAAACTTACTCTTAAGTACTTCAAGTTTCTTTAAATTTTGTTTAAATTCTTTACTCTTTATTTGTTGTTAGTCAATAGAATACAATTGATTTAAGCAGAGTGGTCTTATATCCTAAATACTGTTGAAGTCACAAAGAGCAGAATGAAGAACCAAAACCACGAAACTTAGAGATTACATAGGTGCATATGGACACAGAAAACCCCACAGAGGAAAAACCCCGTCCGAACTGAGCCAGACCCCTTCTCTAAGGGCCTGTGACAAGCCTTTCCAGATGACTGTCCCTCTAACTTTGGGCCTCTCGCTTCCTCTTCCATTCTGAGTGACAGCAGTGAGATCACAGGCTCTATGAGGGGAAAAGCTGGGTGCAGAGGGGCCAGTGAGTTAGTACAGGGGTAAGATGCTTGCTTTATAGGCAGAGAGAGAGAGAGAACAGAGGTCTGCTTGGGGCCCATCTGGGTTCTGTGCTTGCATGGCACATGATCCATTAAGCACTGCCAGGAATGATCCCTGAGCACTGCTGGCCATGGTCCAGAGTTTCTGTTTCGTGGCCCCCCCCACCCCAATGATAACAGTGAGTGGCAGCCTGGCCCCAGGTGTAGGGCAGAGGATACAGACTCACAGGGCTCCTCCAACCCCAGGGGCTAATAATAAGAGCTGCTGCGTTGATAGGAACGTTAGATACTGGAATATGTACCTGAGTATGCCAGGGTTTGTTATTGGGCGGAGCGGGGCAGGGCGAGAGGAACAGATAGGCTGCCAGGAAGTAACACAGGAACATCAGCAGAAGGTCTGACTGAGCACATGGGTGGTGCTAAGGAGGGAACAGTCTGCACCAAAATTATCAATCACCAGACAGCAGGGCAGGGGTGGGAGTGAAGGAGCATGGGCTGGAAGTGACACAGAGATGGCAGTTGGGGGCACTTCGGACAGGAGGAGGGGCAGTAACATGGTGCATCAATACCAGAAAGTTGAGCACTAATGCCACACATCACCTCAACTGAAAGAGGAAGAAAAAGTTAAACCATCAGAAAACAAAACAACTGCATTAGAGATGAAGCCTGGGGCTGGAGCCAAAATACAGTGGGTAAAGCTCTTACCTTGCCTGAGACAGACCCGGGTTTGATCCCTGGCACCCCATATGGTCCCCTAAGCAGTGTGAAGAGAAGCTGGCGCTGTTAGCATCAGGGTACAGGAGCCCAGAGCAAGAAGCCACAGAGAAATTAGCAGGAGGATCTCCAGGGCCAAACCCTGTCAGCTTTTCCTCTTGTCCTCAGTTTTTGTCTCAGCGCTGTCACAGTAAACACTTGTGACTCAGGGTCCTTGAGTGTTTTTGTTCATGGACTCATGCTGGGCAGATGCCTCCTGGGCTAGAGGTGCTGACCAGTTATCAGGAAAATCTCACAGGACGGGCTGGAGCGGGAGTTCAGCAGGGACGGCGCTTGCCTTGCATGCAGCTGACTCAGGTTCCATCCCTGCACCCCATATGGTCCCCGTAGCACTGCCAGGAGTGATTCCTGAGCAACGAACCAGGAGTAACCCCTGAACACTGCTGGGTGTGACCTGGGGAAGAAGGAAAGGAGGAGGGGAAGGAGGGAAGGAAGGAAGGAGGGAAGGAGGGAAGGAAGGAGGGAAAGAGGGAAGGAGGGAAGGAAGGGAGGGAAAGGAGGGAGGGAAGGGAAGGAAGGAAGGAAGGAAGGAAGGAAGGAAGGAAGGAAGGAAGGAAGGAAGGAAGGAAGGATACCCGGGTGTGGCCCCCAAACCAAACCAAAACAAAAAAAGAACGTGGATGTTAGGTATGCGGCTATCTTGAAATTTAGGGAAGTTGTTCTTTTGAGATCAGTCAAGGTCAAGATTAGAACATATCAGGGCTTGTAATTCGGAGTAGGGCTGAGTGATGGTTTGGAATTGCGTAGGTTTTAGGGTGCTGTGGTTAGGAGACAGACTCCACACCTAGCCCCTGTCCTAATCTGCCCTCGGCAGGAGCGGGCGACGCTGGGGAACGCCCGGACTGGGCCGGGGGCCAGACAGGGCCTTGGGTCTGGGCGGGACCGAGATTGCCTGGAGGGAGCCGAGCTGGGCAGAGTCGGGGGGGTGGGCACGGGGAGGCCCCGGACTGCGGTGACTGGGCGATTGGGCGGGGCCGGGTGGGGGCGGAGCCGACTCAGAGGCGGGGCCGGAGGAGACTGGGCGTGGCTACGTGTCGAGGGGCGGCGATAAGAGCGGCCCGAGGCCCAGACTCCGGGTGGCGCGGCTTCCAGGGCCGGGCTGAGATCGGGGGCGGGGCCAGTGGTCGGGGCGGGGCTAGCGCCCGGGGGCGGGGCTCTGGGGACTGGGCGGGGCTCTGGGGACTGGGCGGGGCCAGTGTCGGGGCGGGCTGGGGCGGGGCCATCCCGCGGGCTAGTCGCGAGCCTGCAGAGCTGAGACCTGGTGCCGAGCGCCGGGCTAGCGGTCCGGGACCCTGATGCTGTTGGTTCACATCCTGTCGGCGGGCCCCGAGGCCGCGGGGTCCAGGCAGAGTCCGGACAAAGGCCACCTGGTGAGCGGGGCGCGGGAGCCGCCGTGGGCCTGACCCCGGGTGCGGCGGGTCGGGGTCTCGGCTGGCCCCGCCTGCGATGCACTGAGGCGGGAGGGTCCGGGGGGAGGGGGGGCGCGGGCTGGGGGTCTCCGGACCGGCCTCACGCGCTCCCGCAGGTCTTCCGAGTGCAGGTGCGGTGCGGCGGGCGCAGACACACGCTGTCCAGGCGCTACAGCGATTTCCACGCGCTGCACCGGCGGGTGAGGTGCCCTGAGACCCCGACTGGCTCCAGTCCGAAGCCCGGGGACAGCCTGGCCCCCACCCTCCCGCGGTCCTGAGGCTTGGGGTGGGAGTGGGTGCGTCCCAGCCCGCCCTGTCCTTGGTCCCCGCTTCTGCCGCCTGTCCCCGCCCCACCCCCCTGCACCTGCAGGGGTGTCTGATGGGGACCTCCTGGCAGATCAAGAAACTGTACCAAGTGCCTGACTTTCCCTCCAAACGCCTGCCTGGCTGGAGAACCAGAGGGCTGGAGCAGCAGCGGCTGGGCCTGGAGGCCTATGTGCAGGTGCGGGGGTACCTGGGGGCCTACGTGCAAGAGTGGGGGTTACTTGGGGGACCTACGTGCAGGTGCGGGGGTACCTGGGGACCTACGTGCAGGTGTGGGGGGTACCTGGGGGCCTACATGAAGGTGCGGGGGTACCTGGGGGCCCACGTTCAGGTACTGTGGGGGATGTCACTGCAGGGGCGTGGGCAGGGTGTGGGGATGGGGGTGCAGCAAGTCACTCACTGCCCTCAGAGTCTTTGCTGGAGTGAAATGGGCCTGAAAATCCTGAGTTGCTGAGATTAAGGCACAGGGCAGGTGCGGGGGCAGGGGACGCTGCCCTTCTCTCCAGTCTGGGGGCTGCAGGCACTGCTTTGGCAGGACGGGATCGGCTAGTTGGCCTCATGTCAGTTAAGAGTCTCAGGGAGGAGGATGCGCAGAGTCCCTGAGCTGGATTCCGTGCTCTTGTCCTGGAGACCTCGGATCCTTGTAGGGTTTGGGGTCACAACCAGCTGTGCCCAGGGGCTACTCCTGGCCCTGTGCTGGGCACGGACCCGCCTCCTGCTTTGGCAGCATCTGCTCCCCCACCTGGCTTCTTTGCTGAGGAGCTCTGGAAGGCCCCTGGTGTGAAACGGCCCAGCTGACTGGTGACTCTGTCCTCCAGGGCATCCTGCACTTGAACCAGGAAGTACCCAAGGAGCTTCTGGAATTCCTGGGTCTTCTGCACTCCCCCGCAGACCTCAAGACCAGCAGCTGGGGGTGAGTGCCTTCTGGGACCATGACTTGGCAGAGGGGCCAAGTGTTGGGGGTGGCAGGCTAGGGTCTGTTACCTGCTTCCCAGACCTGGGCCTGTTCCTGATAAATCAGCAGCCCTTAGAGGTGGTTCCAGACCACTTAGTCTTGCCCCTTTCCTCACCGCCCACCCCCGGGAGCTTATTGCTTCTCTTTTTGGCTCTCTGGGGAAGTTTCTGCCTGGTGACAGCTGGCACTGTGACCTGCACCTGGCTGCTGCTGCTGCCCCCTGGTGGCCATCTAGGAAGGCTTGTCCTGCCGGTCACAATATTTTCCTGTCCCCCTTTCCTGGGTGGGTCCCTGGTCTGTTCATCCCAGAGTCCACCAAGAGGAGGCCTGACCCCACCCCCTGCTCCATGACTCATGGTCTCTTTCCTTCCTAGCGCACAGCCGTGCCGTCAGCCTGTACTAGGCTTTGGCCTGGATCCCTATGTCCGCACCCCCATTCCAGGTGAGTGGGTACCTGACCTAGGAGTCATATTTTAGGGCCCAGGTGCGTGGAGGAGGGGAGCCTTACACTTTGGAAGGGTTGGCACCACACTCAGCAGTGCCAGGAATCACTCCTGGCAGAGACTGGAGGGGCCATACATGGTGCAGGTCCACTGCATGCAAGGCGACTGCCCTCCCCACTGTCCTGTGGCTCTGGCTCGCCTTCCTGTCAGCTCCAGCTGCTCCCTTGGGTGTCAGGTCCCTGCTCCTGCTTCCCGAGCCCACTCAGGGTGCCCCAGAGAGCACGTGTGGGGAACAGGCACAGCTGCTCCGTCTCTGGGTTTCAGCAGCCCAGCAGATTGAGTCAAGCTGAGTGCCAGGCTTTGTCCCGGGTGGCCAGCTGCCCTCACCCCATGGGGCTCAGCCTCTGGGCCCCTCACGGTCATTCCCTCCACAGAGCCGCTGCCCAGCGTGGTGGTCCGAGGTGTTCTCCAGGGCCTCTACAGCAGCCTGCCCGACAGCCAGCCAGAGGCTTGCGGCCACTGACCCCCCGGAAACAGGCCACCTGTCAGCACCATCACATGCCCCTGTTCCAGCAGCCCAGACAAGGGGCATGGCCACTGTCCTCTAGGTCTGGGCCTGGGATTCAGCCCCCAAGCTCCAAGTTCAGCGGCAGCCCAGATCCCGGTACAGGACTGGGGACAGGGTGAGAGGACAAGGATGCTTTGAGGGGTCCGACTGCTTCGAGTGGGGGTTACTCCTTTACTCCTAGCAGCTGGGTGAGGTGCAGCTGGAGGCAGTTTAGACGTGAGGAGCCAACAGAGCTCCTGGTGGACATCCTGGGATGGTCGCTTGGGAGAGTGGAAGCTGAACCCCCAGTGGCAGGTAGGGTCGGAGTGCAGGGGCATGCAGGTCCAAGAACCCAGCCCCCAAACAGGCTTCCTTGTTTTTTTGGGGGGTGGGGGGTCACAGCCACGATGCACAGGGGTTACTCCTGGCTCTGCACTCCGGAATTACTCCTGGTGGTGCTCCGGGGACCATAAGGGATGCTAGGAATCAAACCCAGGTGGGCCGCGTGCAAGGCAGACGTCCTTCCCACTGGCTATCACTCCACCCCTCCCCCCCTTTTAACCCCCCCCCCCCTTTTATTTATATTGGACAGTGTTGCCCGGAGTTTGTTGTGAAACCGGGCCTGGTGGGTGGGTGGCTGGGAGAGTGGATGTGGGTGGGGTCCGCTTCCTGGACGCTAGCACCCCTGGTGAAACATGGCACTGAGGCAGTCTCTGCCTTCAGAAGACCCTGCTGGCTGCAGACACGTGCTCGCAGGAAGTGCTCCCTGCAGCTCTATTCCTTGGCGATGGCAAATGGGTTCTCCACCTCGATCTTGCCACAGTCTGCGATGGTCATGTCCTTCAGGGGCCGGTTCTGCCATCTGTCTTGGTGCTCTCCACCTTGCGCATGACCTCCTGGAAGGGAAGCAGAAGCTGAAGGAGAACTGGAGCACAGGGAGATGGAGGCCCCGGGGCCCAGCACCACCTCGGGCCTCAGCCTTCAGGGGGTCCCCTGAGGCACAGGCCAGGCTGGGCTGCGCAGGAATGGACACAGGCCCTGGGGGCACTCAGAAGTTAGGGTGCACCGGGACGCTAGCTCGTTCTTCCTGACCACTCAGGTTTGTGCCATGCGCTGGGTCTGAGTGCAGGGTTGCTTTGCGCGACCAACTCTGGTGTTGCCAGTGCCTGAGCGCGGCCACCTGAGCAGTCCCCTGCCAAGTGCCGCCCCCAGCCCAACTCACCATGCCCTCGATAACTTTCCGGTTATCGGAACACCACGTGCTTGCCATCGGGCCAGGTGTTCTTGACCGCCGTGATGAAGAACTGGGAGCTATTGGTGTCTGTGCCAGCGTTGGCCATGCTCACCCAACCCGGACCATAGTGCTTCAGCTTGAAGTTCTCATCAGGGGAGCGTTCGCCATAGATGCTCTTACCTGGGAGGAGAGATCGGGGGAGCTTCGTTCCCTGGACAGCAATAGCCGGGGCCTCTGTCTGCACTGGCCCTAGCAGCCAGGTGGGGTGTGAAGCCCACACACACCTCTGTCCCCTTCCCCTCTGGTCTGGACACCAGAGCACGGATGGACACGGCCTAGGGCAAGGGCTGCTTGAACTTCGCCTTGGCCACCCCTCTGCCCTGGAAGCTCTCACACAGCCCTGGTACGTAAGAACACAAAGCAAACACCTGCGGGACATGGGGACAATGGTGGAGGGAAGCGACACTCAGGGAGGGGGTGGTGTTGGGATGTTCATGAAGAATCCCCCAAGAGCTATACTGTAACTCATGGTGCCTAAAGTAACACTTAAAAAAAAAATGAAGTATCTCCTGACCGTAAACCACAAACTTATTTTTTATTTATTTATTTTTATGTAGGAGTATTGCTATCATAAACTTATTTTAGAAGCCAGAGTTTATGCACAGCTCCTCTGATGGCAGGACTGTGATGGCTTCTAAGGAAGGGTCACGTGGGTACTTGCACCTGCTGAGCCTGGTCTGCATCCTCAGCACCACATTCTGACCCTCCCCTGAGCAGAGAGAGAGCACTGATGGGGGGGGGCGGGGGGGTGGAAGGGGGCTATGATTTGGGTCCCAGACAGCCAAGCGTCTCTTACCTGAGAATGAATGAACAGAAAACGAAGGTGTAGGGCAGGAGACAGTCCAGCGGGGAAGGTGCTTGCCTTGCTGTTGGGGTCTCAGCAGTTGGCCTGAGACTTTGACCAAATCCCCTGGCTCCGGAAGCAAGAGCTGGCCCTGTTTACAAAGACCCAGGGGGCTTGCTCCAGCACTCCCCACACACAGACACTCTAGTTGAGAATGAGGGACATGACTGTGCCCACCTACCCATATTAATAACCTGACCCTAAGAACAGGATTTGTAAATCATTAACTGACATCGGTACAAGTCCTACAAGAGAAGCACGCTGTGCGGGAGAACTGTGCTGTACGTGGGATTGCCCCCCTCTCCCCTTCTGGGTAGGGGCCAGTAAACGAAGAACTGCTTGATCGCCAGACTCCCCCCCTCTATGGCTTTCTTTCTTGGTGCCAGGGCAGCTGCAGGAATCCCATGGTGCGCAGAGGGCCAGAACAGAGGCTTCTTTTCTACCCACTCCCTCCCCTTTAGGGAGTAAGTCCAGCAACTTCGGGGGTGGGGGGATCATACTCCAGTTTGCCGGGGTCGACTGGACCCCCACACCTTGCATGCAGCTGACCAGAGTTCGATCCCCAACACCCCATATGGTCCCCCAAACCCACCAGGAGTGATTCCTGAGTGCAGCGCCAGGAGTATGTCCTGAGTACTCACCGGTGAGCATGTCAGGAGGGCCTGGAGCACAGCACCTGTGCTATTCCCACTTTCCTCCCCACACCCTGGGGTGCGCATAGCGGGTGTCAGACAGACCAGAGAGTCTCAACCACACACTCACATTTCCAAGAGATGCTCTTTCTACAGAGGGGAAGCTGAGGCAGACGCAGGCCAGGCCCGCCCAGAGTACTGACTGGAAGCCCCCACTCAGAATGGTCATAACCAAGGAGGACTCCACTCTCAAGTTTCCTGAGTCAGCCCCCAACCTATGCCTGTGAGCAAGCCTTCCCCAGAGACAGGGTAAACACCTAAACAGGCTCAATCTTTGCTGGGCTCGGGGCTGCACACAGCTGCATGTCCTGTCCAGGGACACTCCCCAGCCGCTCATTCTTATTTTATTTTTATCTTTTGCTTTTTTGGGTCACACCCGGCGATGCTCAGGGGTTACTCCTGGCTCTGCACTCAGGAATAACTAATGGCGGTGCTCGGGGGACCATATGGGATACTGGGACTCGAACCGGGTCAGCCGCGTGCAAGGCAAACGCCCTACCTGCTGTCACTCTCTCTTTAGGAGGTTTCTGGAGTCATACCTCAGTGCTCAGAAGCTGCTGGAGAACAACACAGTCCCAGGACTCAAACTGGGGTTGGCTCCATGCAAGGAAAGAGCCTGCATACCCCACTAACTCTTGGGTCCGTGACTCCTCACCGTGACCTGCACGCACTCTGGTCTCTCTGTTGGGGCTGAGGCACTGCTCTTACTGGCACAGACAATAGGCTGAGGTCTGCAGCAAGTGTCACACACCCAACCCTGTGAGGCAGGAGTTTAACACCAGATTCCAAGCTGAGGCAGAGGCATCGAGCTGGGAAACGGCACAGCGGGGACTCCACACCCAGGAGCCCAGCTCTGGGATCTCTGATTCTCCCCCCACGAGACCCTCTCTGGGCTCCTCACAAACCTGTCCAGCCCTGCCATCACCCTGGACATCCCCAGGATTAGTAGAATGTTGCTCAGGAGGACAAGCCCCTGGTCCGGTTCCAGGGGCTCCATTTCCAGGCCCCCCTGAACCCCGCTCTTTCCTTAGGGGGTGGTGGGAACTCAGGGGATCAGGTGGTGGCGGGGTCAATCCCAGGGCCTCCCATGGGTGCCAGTTGGCTGTGCTCAGGGCTGACTGCCAGTGGGGCTTGGAAAACCATATGGGTTGCTGGGAATTGAACCAGGGTTGGCCACATACAAGGCAAGCATTCTGCCTGCTGTAATAACGAGCTACCCATCCACAGGCTCCAGCTCCTGTATTTTCATTTTGGTTTTGGGGCCATACCTGGCAGTTATCAGGGCTTACTCCTGGTTCTGTGCTCAGGGGTCACTCCTGATGGACTCTGAGGACCATATGGGATGCCAGAGATTGAGTCTGGGTTGGCTGCATGGAAGGCAAATGCCTCTCCACTCTGCTATAGCTCCAGCCCCAAGTGTTTTCTTTAAGGGAATGTTTATGGGGGACAGAGGACCTACATCTTTCAGTGCTCGAGGAACCCTGCAGTGATGTAATGTCCAGCACGGCTGCATGCCAGGCGAGCGAAGGAGCCCTGCACCATCTCTCAAGCCCTCCACAGATATGTTTCCTTTGGTCAGTAAATTCTCATAAAGGTAGAAGGTGGGAGCTGAAGAGATAGCACAGTGGTAGGAGCGTGACTTGCACTTGGCTCACCAGGGTTTCATGCTGGCATCCCATATGGTACACTGAGCACCAGCAGGAGTAATTTCAGAGCCAGGAGTAACCCCTGAGCACCACCAAGTGTGGCCCCAAACAGTGAGAGAGAGAGAGAGGGGAAGGAAGAAAGAAAAAGAGAGAGGACAGAAGGAAGGAAGGAAGGAAGGAAGGAAGGAAGGAAGGAAGGAAGGAAGGAAGGGAGAGAAAAGAAAGGAAAGAAAAGGCGTCCAGGGAAATTGCTCTGTGGGCTCCTCACACAGATGGTCCAGGCCTTGGTTCAATAGATTCCCTCGCTTGAGCTGATCGCCACTCATCTCTGATGGCCACTTACCTCTCCTGTGGCTAAAGCCAGGAAATTATCCACTATCTTGGGCACAGTCTTCCCGAGGAGACCGATGACCACCCGGCGGCCAATATCTTCATCGCCCACGTGCAGGTTGAAGTCCACCTGGGGGACAGGAGTGCCTGGTACTGAGGAGGGGTCTTGCTAGAAGGGACCTGAGAAAGGGGAGGGGCCAGGGATAAAATTGGCAGGTTTGGGCAGGGAGGGCTGGAGCGGTTGTGGGGAGGTCACACCAGCTCAGCCCTCCTGAACGGAAAAGTGGTGACACTCCTTACGGGCAGAGTGCACGACTTGCTCTAAAAACAAACCCAAAAACTAAACAAAAAAGCTAGCATTTTGTGTTGAACTAGCTAGTATTGAGCGACTCAAGGACAAATTACCACTGAAGTGGGCTTTGGGCGTTGCAGCTTCCAAAACGGGACATGTGTGTGTTATCC